CCCATAATGCAGACCTGGAAATATGAGCCACTCTGGTCACCAAGTTCATGTTCATGAACACTGGCAAGCTTCGTCCAAGTTTGCTGTTTGCAATGAAACAAAAACCGGGAGAATAATGTATGAGCTAGGTCTTGATCATGACTATTTTTCAATGCTTTGCTTTGAAATGATAACTGGGGCTAGAGGAGCAATGATAGGGACTCATTCTGTGATTTCAGTGTGATTATGCTGTGGTACAGAATTGAGCCTTTGGTCCTTTGTTTATTTTGTCGCTGTCACTACAAGTGTGATGTTGTTTTGTTCCTTGAATTCCCCCACATTCCTCCTACACATCATTATATTTCTTTAAAATATAAAAATCCTGTGTTTATTTGTTGGTATGAAAAGTATACAAACTGCATCAGTCAGCACCCCAAAGCCTTTAAAACCAAGCAATCTTTTTCACTATCACCAGGCCAGTAAAGCTATCCTAGACTTTATTCCCAAGACTTTTTTTACACAACCTTATTGCACATACAGCATACAAGTTGGATTAAGGCAACTTGTTATATAATATTTGGCAATCGTGCTTGATTGAACTTTTCTACCTGTTAGAGCAGAAAGCTCTAAAGAGAATACTGTATCTTGCATTGGTTTATTAGGCTATAAAGATGTATCATTTATGGCGCACTGACAAAACTTTAAGATTCACCTCTGCATTCAGGGCACGTCTACACGTTGCCCTACGGTGATGTAGTGATGTGTTACAGTGACACATGCCATGCTACAGTGACATAGTGATAATGTGTGTCTACACATGATTGCCAGCTATGTAGCCATAGCAGTGTGCTTCCTGGGTATGGCACGTCACTATGGCGACGTAGCAGTGGAAGCTACCCATGCGCTGTGTGCATGGCACAGTAACCACCCATCCTGCCAAAAGGAAGTACTAAAGCATAGTGCTGTAGCAACGTTGCCGTAGGGTGATGTGTAGACACACCCACAGCCTATCAAATTTGACTTGTCTATGAGTCAACTTAGCCATGTTTATACATGCCCTGAACAAGCAAAATACTAGCACACAGACTTGCATCAAAAATAAAGATAGGGAAACAAGATCCAGGTTAACAGTTTCCCCATAATCAACCATAAGCTTCCATCTATCATGGATCAGTGTACATAGGTAACATTTACAAAAAGGCTTGAGCCCCATTTTCAGAAGTGAATGTCAGTGGGACTTAGGCTTTTACATCAGTCCTGAAAATTTTAACTTCCAAGTGTGTTAGTGATAATGTGAAACCTTCAGCACTGTACTTGCTGAGTTTGCACTGTGTGAGACTGGGATATACATGCAGTATAATATAAAGAAGCAACCACCTGATGTTTTCAGTAGAGAGTGGATAAGGAAATTCTAGACCAGTCTACATTTTAGAGAGAGGGGAAGAAAAAGTGTAAAGTTACTTTTTCAGTCATTTTGTTGCACTACAGCTCACCATACTTTTATGTAATTGCCATACTTCTCCAACTACTTGGTAAGCAAATATTAAATACTCTCCACTGTCAGGCACAGTGCTAAATTAACAGTGAGAGAGAGAGAGAGAGAATGTATTGAGAACACCAATAATTCTGGGATACCAGATTAGACACCAAGCATGCAATAGATGTGCAAGGCTGCTGATGGTAAAGGAGAAGGATGTGTTTGCAGCAATATAAATTTTCATTTCTTCCTGTTTCCACTGCATCTCCAACCCTCTTAAACATAAAAAACTAAAGGTAGGCACAAATTAGAACACAAGATTCAAGTTCTTCAGTCTTTGTGGAAGTTCTGACTGAATAGTATTTCTTGGCCTTGTACCAAAACATCCACCTTAATGTCCCTGTTCTTTGTGAATGTTTGGATATGGACCAAAATTCTTCTTGGAGCCATTTGTAAAAAGCCTCAGAACAACTTTTAACAAAGTTTAAAGTTACAAAAATTAACTTAAAGTAATGACTAAGTCCAGTGGGTGTTATTTAAAAGTTCTCACTTTTTCATTTGAACAAGTATTTCATATAACACGGGGAACGCTCAGACTGTGGGATACCCACTAGAGCTGGTGATCTTTTACCTTTCAATAAAAAGGATACAAGAAAAATGTTAACTCTGCTCCCTGTATGAATGTGAGAACAGCAAGGACTTTTACCCATGTAGAACAACCGTTTCTGGACAAGGCAACTGTAAATGTTACTATCCATTCTGCATTATTGAACAAAGCAGTAACCTACATAATGGGTCAAATTAATTTCAGCTGTAATTCCACTATGTCTGGGCTTCTGTTGTAGTATGCCTCGGAGATGTCTATGGGTGTGTACAGAAGATGTACTTTTCATGCAATGAGGCTGCCAAAAGTGCTCTGTAGCCAAACATAACAAATGTTCAGGGCTGCAGAGTGCTTTAAAAATGGTGGATCTCATGAAAAGTTAAACCTCACTTAGTGTAGTATCAGATGAAGGCGCTCTAGGGCAGAGCACATTAGCAAACTTGTGTACAGGTTCTCATTGAGAGTTAATTTCAGTTGATTCTGCCCACATCTCAGGGGCCTTTGTGGGGCTGGGCTGGTACTTGCAGGTGAGGACTGGACCAGCCCAGCCCCCCCACTCCCTCGGCTGTCACAGAGAAAAAACAGAAAAAGCTCTGTCTCTGCCCTGTGCAGCTGGGCCGGGGGAGAAGGGAGTCCCTCTGCCATGTGCCCTGCCCCCCCCCAGCTACCCCAACTGCAGGGAACTGGGCTGGGTCCATGCGGCAGAGGTGGGAACGAAGCCCCCCTACCCCCTTGCCCCAGTTCCAACCATGGTAAAGCCAAGCTGGCAGCTACATGCTGCTGCTGTCAAGTGGCTTTGGTGGGGTGGAAGGGGGGAGGCTCCATGTCGCAGTCTTCCCTTTTACCCTGGCTGGGGTGTTGGGGGTG